ATTCCAGTCCCATTCCCGCTTCCATTCCTGATCCCATTCCACATCCTATYCCAGACCCCATTCTCGATCCCATTCCAAGTCCATTCCACCTGGTCCCATTCCCCATCCCATTCGATTCCCATTCCAGATCCCATTCCCAATCTCATTCCTGCTTCCATTCCAGTTCCAATCCCAGATCCCATTCCCAATTCTATTCCAGATCGCACTCCTGATCCGATACCCCAGCAAATTCCCAAGCCCATTCCAGGTATTTTCCCGTTCCAATCCCAGATCCCACTCCTGGTCCCATTCCCGATCCCATTCCAGTTCCAATCCCAGATCCCATTCCCAATCCCCTTCTCATTCCAGGTCCCATCCCAGATCCCACTCTGCATCCCATTCTGGATCCCATTCCAGTTCCGATCCCAGATCCCATTCCAGGTCCCACTCCTGGTCCCATTCCCGATCCCATTCCAGGTATTTTCCCAGATCCTATTCCAGATCCCATTCCATGTCTTATTCCAAGACCCATTCCTGATCCCATTGCACATCCCGTTCCCGATCCCATTCCAGTTCCAATCCCAGATCCCATTCTGGATCCCATTCCCGATCCCATTCCAGTTCTGATCCCAGATCCCATTCCAGGTCCCACTTCTGATCCCATTCCCGATTCCATTCCTTATCCCATTCCAGGTATTTTCCTAGATCCTATTCCAGATCCCATTCCATGTCTTATTCCAAGTCCCATTCCCCATCCCATTCCCAATCCCATTCCAGATATTTTCCCATTCCAGATCCCATTCCATGTTTTATTCCTGATCCGGCGATGGCGGCTGCGAGTTCCCAGCGGGATCTGGACGATCCCAGGGGAGAATTCAGGAGACAAAAACAAAATAAAAAAACTTTATTGAGCCCTGGGAATTCCGATCCTGATGGGAATGAGGGGATGGGATTGGGATGGGGATATTTGGGAATGGGGGATGGGAATGGGGATATTTGGGAATGGGAACATTGGGGAATTCAGGAGACAAAAACAAAATCAAAAACCTTTATTGAGCCCTGGGAATTCTGATCCCAAATGGAATGAGGGGATGGGATTGGGATATTCGGGAATGTGGGATGGGAATGGGAACATTGGGGAATTCAGGACACAAAAACAGAATAAAAAACAGGATCCCTGGGAATGGGGGATGAGAATGGGGACACAGAGTCTGGAATTGGATCCCAAAAAAACCTTCATTGAGCCCTGGGAATTCTGATCCTGATGGGAATGAGGGGATGGGATTGGGATGGGGATATTTGGGAATGGGGGATGGGAATGGGAACATTGAGGGAATGGAGGATTGGGATTGGGATATTTGGGAATGGGAACATTGGGGAATTCAGGACACCGAGTCTGGAATTGGACCCCAAAAATACCCTTTATTGAGCCCTGGGAATTATGATCCCGATAGGAATGTGGGGATGGGATTGGGATATTTGGGAATGTGGGATGGGGATATTTGGGAATGGGAACATTGGGGAATTCAGAACACGGAGCCCAGAATTGGATCCCAAAAAAACCCATTTTTGAGCTCTGGGAATTCTGATCCTGATGGGAATGAGGGATGGGATTGGGATGGGAATGGGAACATTGGGGAATTCAGGAGACAAAAACAAAACAAAAAACCTTCATTGAGGCCTGGGAATTCTGATCCCGATGGGAATGAGGGGATGGGATTGGGATATTTGGGAATGGGAACATTGGGGAATTCAGGACACAAAACCTGGAATTGGATCCCAAAAAACCCTATTATTGAGCCCTGGGAATTCTGATCCTGATGCGAATGTGGGGATGGGGATCCTCGGGAATGGGGAATGGGGACACTGAGGAATGTGAGATTGGGACTGGGATATATGGGAATGCGAACATTGGGGAATTCAGGACACGGAGCCCGGAATCGGATCCCAAACAAATCCTTCATTGAGCCCTGGAAATTCTGATCCCGATGGGAATGAGGGGATGGGATTGGGATGGGGATATTTGGGAATGGGAACT